AGAGAGAGAGAGAGAGAGAGAAGAGAGAAGAGTTATTCTTCTCGTTGTTACGATTTATTGCGTGGGTTGGTGGTGGGAATCCAAGCAGTATGGAAAGCGGCGCAGGCAAACAACAACAATCAACCACAGTCACAACAACAACAACGCACCGCCGAAAACACACGCAAGGAGAAAAGAGCGAAAAAAGATGGGAGTCAAAAATAGTTCTCAGTGCCTGAGAGGAAAGGAGCAAACAACACACAGACGCGTATTCACAATGATTTCGCGCTGTCTTCTTTCTCGTCATGCACATAGCGCCGCACCTGCAAGGAGAGCACGCAGCAGCAACAACAGGAATGCACAGCAGACACACACACACACACACAACCAAAGGAAGGTGAGAGGGAAATGCGCCCAGCGCCACACACCGAGAAAGAAAGCTCCGTGTATGTGTCTGTATGCGCACATACGCACCTCTTCCGATCCCACTCCCCACGGCAGAGATACCTGAGAGATGCAGGCCAAACAGACACACACGCAGCGCCCCCGCCCCTCTTCACCACTCAAGAAGAAGAACGTAATGAGAAACAAAAAAACTCAAAACACACCAGAGATGATAACCACATCCTAAAAGAGAAGGCGTTTGTTTACTGTTCTCTTCTCTCTGCTTCCCCTGCCGGCGTGGGAGTCCCTGGAAAAGCAAATCACATAGCCCACAAGCAGCAACCTGACGCATTAGGCTACCAGTCACGTTGGTGTAAGAACATGATGCAAATACAAAAAGCATTCACACACACACACACACACATACAGAGAGAGAGAGAGAGAAAGAGAGAGTAAAATAAAAGGGACAAGGCGTGCGGTGGGGGGCTTATATGGCAACATCTTTTACCTACATTACCCTCAATTTTGTTTTGCTCATTTACGTTTGGCTGGCTTCACACTCCCCGCTGTTTCTTTGGGGAACGAGGCCCAACATGCGGCGATCCTGCATGAAACAGAATTACATTCTCCCGCAGTGCCTCCCGTTCACTTAAAACAGCAACAACAAAACAACTGCCACGCATACATAATGTAACGGAATGTGAATATGCAATCGAAATGACACACCTGACCCAGCCGAAACCATGCAATTACAATCATCTGACACGCCCCACAGATATTCCTCCACTTGCTGTAATCGTCTCCTGCCACAGGACGAAGCAACCCCCCCCCCTCCAAAGAAAAAAAGAAATGATAAACAAACTAACAGCAACAACAAGAACAAACACCAGCCGCAGCCGCGACAACAGACGGTGCGTCAAGGATTGACCAGGTACGGAAGCCTGGACGCCTCCCGTGGGGAGAACATGCGCGATGCCATCGATGAGACGTCTCCCGTGAAGCGACGCGTGGCGGACGCCAGCTCCTCTCGAGACGCGGACAAATTCACAGAGTTCATTGTCGAGGCGTTGGAGTTGCTGGAGGTGGCGGCGACATTCCCCTCTTCACAGCTCGACACAACTGACAGCATCGCGTTCTTCTTACCGCTTGAGGGTTTCACGTCGAGTGCCTGCGTCTGTTCCGTGTTGGTGGTCTGCCTGCATCGTGCTGGCCCAATATTTCTAAAGGACGGGAGCACTGATGGTGTGAGGATGGCAGAATCCACAACGCTGCATGTCCTCTGCGGCTCGTCTCCGATCAGGTTGCAGTTGCGTGACAGGAGACCCTCCAGTTTAATAGTGAGTGGCTTCGAATTGACGCCGGTGTGCCGCACGTGTCGAATGACTTTGTTGCCACTGCGCTCGATGCACGCACACAACTCCTCCACGTCATCGTCAACGATGTCGATGCCCAACACAATCAACTCCTGAAGAGTGCTGTTGCGGTGGAGGGCCTTCATGATGGGGAGAAGCGGTCGAGAAGATGAATGCACGTTGGAATTCGCTCGGCCGGCTTGCACCTGACTCATCCAGTGGCTGTCACAGAGGGGATGTGCTATTTCCGTGCTCTGGTACGACAGATCCAGGCACACAAGGGTGTAGTTCGTGACAAGGGCGTCACCAATAATGCGAAGACTCTCAGCACCCATATTACACCCGCGCAGACTGAGTCGCGACAATTGTGTTGCATCAGAAATACCGGCTGCCAGAGCCGTCACAGCCTCCTCGCTTAGAGGTATCTGCAGCTCGAGGCTCCTCAGTGCTGTCCTAGCCGAACACAGGCCTGCTGCGGCTATTGTGAACGGTGCTGCCAGTGATTTTGCTGAGTGCTGCTGCGTCCCAGTACTTGGCACAGAAGTATAGCAGTTCTGCAAGGCGAGATGCTGTAGGTTCGAGCGGCACAGCGCTGTTTGCAGAACAGCCCCAAAACCGGGTGCGTCGAAGTCAGCACTGTCGCTGCCACGGTACGTAAAGGATTTCAGTGTTCCCCCATTCTCCGAGTGAAGAAGAGCCACAAAGCTATCTTCCATGCTCTCAGGTAGAGCGCCTGACTCATCCGAAGCACGTTGTTGTTGCTGCAGCTGCAGCTGCTGCCGTCGTTCTTCTCGTCGACCCACTCGGCTGAGCACTAGCTCCGTCAACGGAAGGGTTTTGGCTGCGCAGAAGCCAATAATACGCAGCACACCAGCAGCTGTAATGGGGTTGTCGTTCAGTGCCAGCCGATTCAGCGACTTGGGACTCTGCTCAAGGGCTGACAGAAGTGCCACAACACCCTCATCCGTTATGTTGTTGCCACCGAGCACAAGGGAGACGAGCCGGTTATCACTAGTTATGACTGGGGCAAGCGCTTTCACTCCATCGTCCTGAATCCAAAGCCCGTAGAGTTCTAACGCGAGTGTGCTGCGGTATTCGTCGGCGCCGCCCCTCGCGAAGCTGTTTTGTTGTCTCAGCAGCTGCTCACGGATTGCCTCCACGCCTTCTAGCCCAATCGGCGCCCACTTGCCGTACCGCTTGCGCCACCGCAGTGGTGGGATGACGGATTCCTGCGGCGTGCAGCACCTCACAAGCGACGCAATACACCGCTCCCGCATCTGCTTACTTTCTACTGCAGCAGTGGCCTGCTCCGTGTCTGCGGTGCCACTGACGTTCCGCGCATCGGTACAGCACGTGAGGATTTCCCTCAGTCGTGCCCGCATTAGACAGCGCAGGTGTGGGCACAAAAACAAAACAAAAACCAAAACTTCCCACTCTTACAATTTGCGACACGGAATGGTTCTCTCGTCTGTGCGAAAAGGGGCAGGTGCCACGCCCGCCTTTATTTTTTCGTCCCCCCTTTTTTTTTCGCCCAACCGATCACAGACTTTCTTTTCGATCTGCCGTCGCCTCTTGCCTTCACACCTCCACTATTCAATAAATGGGCGTATGTGTATTTTCCTGCGTGAAGGCAGTTGTTGCAAGGAGGAACAGCACTACGAAAACAGAAAAAAAAAGGGGGAACAAAAAGGAATGCAGTCTTCGCATAGCGATGGTCCACGCAAGTGCGGATTGTTTTTCCCCATTTCATTGAGAATTACCGTTTCCACAGACGTGCAGTGAAGGCACGCTGCGACATACCGCCACACCCCACAACAACAAGAAGATGTCCGACAGTTTCCCGCAGTGTGCGGGGTAGAAGCCAAACTCTCTCTCTCTCTCTCTCTCGCTCGCTCTTCCCCTCATAGTACTCACTTACTTTCTGTGCCGTCGGTGCGCGGCCTTGTCCCAGGAAGATGCAGCTCGTCGGGATCCTCCAGACCGCCATGGCCCTTCTTGTGCGGCGAGACGTAGCGCCGCGCCCCCGGTGTTCCATGGGGGATGGCGTCGTCAGATTCCTGCTGCCCATTTCTGTTGCCTTTGTTGTTGTCGTTGTTGTTGTTACTCGCATCGGCGTTGGAGGAGGCCACGCTGCGCCACTCAATACGCCCCTCCATGGAGTGGGCCACCGGGCAGCGCTTCTGCAACCTCTCCGCAAACGCCATCACCTCCGCCTCTGATGCGTTGGGGGCGTCGATGTAGCCCACCACCACCGTCTCATGCCCCACCTGCGCGCCGCTCTTCTGTTTCTCAAGCCGCATCGTCACGTTCTTCACGTCGATCCCCTGCTCCACCGCCACTTCCGCCGCATGTGAGGCGGTGCAGTGCTGCAGCAGCGCCATGACCCCCGCGTTGGTGGACGTCGCTTCCTTCAGCGCCGCCACCGCTGCGGATGCGCGTGCCTTGAGGCTCTGCGCGAAGCTGAGCCCCTGCATCGCCTCTTCCGAGGCCGCCCTGGCACGCTGCTGTTGCTGCCGCAGGATCTCCTCATATGCTTGACGGTGTTCGCGCCGCTTCGCCGCCACCTGCGGGTTCTCATCGGGGTTCTCGCCCTTCCACGAGTCAATGACCTTCGCGACGGAGGCGGTCGACTCACCGGCGTGGAAGCGCAGCACAGCTGGGATCTTGCCCAACTCACTGCAAAGCACCTTCCACACGCTAAGCGAAGGGAAAGAGCGGTGCATTGATTAGTGTTTCTACCAAACAAAAAAAAAATACCGGCACCAACTCCTCGTTAGAGAACCAATACGAGAATATATAATGTGTTTTGAGACAGTGGTGCCAGCACCCGGGTGATGGAGGAGCCTTGGTGCCGCAGTCTTGCACTACAGAACGGGCCTGAATGAGGAAGAGGAGGAGGAGGAGGAGGAGGTAAAAAGAAATGAGAACCAAGAAAAATAAAGGAAGGAGAACTTCCAGTTGTATTTATTCTCGAATACAAACGAAAAAAAAAAGACTGAGCGGTAACGCGTTGCCCACGAATAGCAGAACAGGCAGTAGGCACCTCAAGTCAAGAGCAGGGATGCAAACCACCGAAAAACTTAGGGAAACACCGCAATATTATAAGCAACATTAGGAATGTGTCCCCAAACACCCCTTGTTTCAGCTTTACATAACTGTGTTTCGCGTCAGAGAAGAACTCCGACTTCAGTATTACCTCCAAAAGCAACCGTAGAGGCACGAGAAGCCAAAGACATGCATGATTGATACTAACTTCCCATTCTCCTACGCGTCATTCTGAAGCAACAGCCAATGAACCACCAAAGCACTACGACGCAGCCTCAGAAAGCGCCCGTTGCAACCTAAGAAACGGCTCATCCTCACCAGGGAAGCGCTTCAGTTGCATTTGTGGTTCGGCAATAAGCGTCTCCAGATCATGACAGTGGTTTGTCAGCACATGCTTCATAACAGATATTCGCGGCGGTACGCTGGGTGGCGGGTTCGATGTTTGGTCCTCGCCCTCACGCACGGCGGCGCGTGCGGATACGTGACACCGCCCCGGAGGACCGCTGCCGCAGCGCTCACCACCATCTGCGCGGCGCTGTGCCATCTCGCCTCCCCAGCGCCCGAAACCGACGACCGTGGCGGTACCGGGCGGGTCTAGCGCCGACGGGTGACTCTTCCTCAGGTGACTCAATATGCGGCACGTCTCAATATGCGGCAGCGCCTCCCCCGTGCTGGTGCCGCTTCTGCTGGCCTGCGCTTTATCGACAGGCTGAGCAGCGTTACCGTGCTCAGGCGTCAAGTGCGACTTGGTGTATGTTGCTTGACGACTTGCAATTCCCTCACAGAGCGCTGGGCGCTTCATTTTCAATGGAGTGCGCGAAGCGATGGCAGAGGCGTATTCGTCAGGTACAGGCGTGCTGCTGTCAAAGAATACATGTGGCAAGGCAGCCTCCTCCATGACTGCCTTTCTAGCTGCGCGTCTCTGCTTTTTCTCCAGTGTTGTCATATGCTGGTTGTAGTGAAGCACCATATCGTTGATCTTGTCGGCGAGGTCCGTCTCGCATCGTCGCGGGTTGAGTTTGATTTCCCCCTCCTCATGCAGCTTCTGCAGCAACGCCGTCACCGCCGCCTCCATTGCGCTCCGCTGGGCTACAGCCTGCGCCTCTGCCGTGTGGCCATCGAGGAAGTTTTTATGCTCGTCAAGTCCGCTGATAAGCAGACCCCGTGCATCCTCACTGGAGAGCGCGACAAAATGGACAAGACGGAGGATTGTGTCGCGGTCACATGCCTCCAGTGCGGCATGATATGACTTTGGCAACCCACTGTGTTTCAGTGTCGCCCGCTCTTCATCACCATCACCACAACGTTCTTTCCACAGCTGAAGCAATTTGAGACGAACATCACGGAGCAGGCTGCCTTGCTCAACCGCCACCTTCTCCATCTTGGACATGTAGTACTGCATGGTGTTTTCCTTGTTGTGGATCAGCTGTGCGTGATCGTTAAAGGCGTTGTTATCCACACACACCTCTGTGCTGCGCTGTATGAGCTCGTCGAGACTATCGCGTACTTCTTTCTCCACCGCATCCATCCGCTGACGGAGCTCCATGCCAAACTTTCCACAGAGCCGAATTGCGCTGTCCACCTCAACGCGGTGCTTCGCTGTTGTCTCGCGCAGAAGATCATCGGCCACCTTTACCCGTGTGGCACGCTCATCGAGAGCCAGCTGGAGCGCCTTGATCATCTCATTTGACTGTTGCAGCTTGCGGTGAGTGCGATTGATGAGGTTCGTGAAGGCATCCGTGAGACTCATTGTTTTGTCGTACACCTCGTCCGCCTTCTCCACGACATTACGCTCATTCATGGCTGACTCCGAAACCCCACTCTCAGGCGGGCGGCAAAGCGTGTCGAAGAATGCGCGTATATTCCGTATCTCCAGCGGTTCCCGTGGGTCCTTCTCCCGCGCCGGCACGTGCACCTCCGACAGGTTTGATGCGGGGTCCCTCGCACACGGCAGAATCACAGCCTCGGCCGCGGCAGTGGACGCCACGAACGCGACCTCCGTGTCGAGTATGCGGCTCTCCTCCAGCGCGGCAGAACCTATCACTTCCACTGACTTAAGCAGGTGAAGGGTGCCTTTGACCAGTTTGGCTGTGGCATCCTCCGCGCGTGTGGCCCGTGCGCCGTACGTCTGACGCACCCTCCGCAATTCCTCCTGAAGCTGCAGAATTGCCCGTCTCTGAGGCTCGAAGGAATCGATGGATATATTTAGTATGAGTTGCTTCCATTCTGCTTCATACTGCGCGTCTATAGCCAAACGCGCCTTCTCCTCAGCGCTAATTGTCGATTGTAGTGCTTTTCGACCCTTCCGCTTACGGCCCTCCGGTGTTCGCCTCCGCGATGGTAAGGAGGGGCTTAAACCTTTCTTGACAGTTGCCTCCGCCTTCCCGCCCCTCGCGGCGGGCGATGCTCCTCTTAACTGCCTAGTGTCCGATCGCCTGCCTCGTGGTGACGGTGTTCCTGCTTGTTTGCTTCCACCCAGCTTCCGCCGCGTGGACGTGGAGCCACCTTCGCCGCTTTGCATGGAGAAAGTACGACTCCGCGAGTTCCCTGCCGTTGATGTTGGCGTTGTTGTTGTTGCTGTTGACCCATCGTCACCAGCTGTCTGGGATAGTAAGACCTGCCGTGTTCGCCCTGACAGAGTCCTTCGAGGCGCTGACGCCGGCTTCGAGGGCGACTTCCCACTCGACACCACCGGAGCGTCTTTCTGCTGCTTATGCTGCTCCGGTGGTGATGTGGTGCCGGACACCCGTGAGGCGTCCACGCGGATACCTCCTGTGATGGGGCGCGCCTGGTCGGAGAACATCAAAGTGGATGTTGCCGAAATCCCGGGAAACAGCGAGGAGTTGCCGTGAGAGACGGGCCGACTCGACGGCGACTCCGTCGCCACCTCCTCTGGCTGTAGCAAGATGCTCACTCGTGGCTGCCGGCGAATGGGCGATGTTGTCTCGGAATCGCTCACCTTTCCTCCTCCTCCACCTGCTGCTGTTGGTGCTGGTGTCGTGGCCTCTGAGCGGAGAGGGGTCAGAATGGCGACTTTTCCAGCGTCATGTGATGCCGTGGGGATGTCCGTTGACTTCTCCATCTTGCACTGGGTGGAAAACACATGCGCATGAATGCGGATGAGATACATGAAGACAAGGAGAAAAGCGGAGAGGGACACACAGAATTAATGTGTGAAGTTGCACATCCGGCGCGACATGCCACACATTGGCCCACCATAAAGGAGAAAAGACGTTGCCACACGAGGAGAACACATACATACATACGTATATACGTATATATATATATATAAATAATGTATAAGTGTATATATGCGTGTATATATATATATATATATATATAT